CCCAGCACAGCAGCCCGCTAGGCCTCAACACCATCTCTCGCCAACGCCTTGGCGATGTCTGCGCTTCGATTCACCACGCCCTTATGGCTGCCGAAGAGGCTCTCGACACGTGGTAAGCCCAGATCGGGCCGTCCGCAGAGTCTCTGCTCTTGTTAGCCAAGCAAATGAAGAAGACGGCGTCCCTGGCTGATCCCGCCGGTGCCCCTCGGTAAACGGCCGAGAAGGACAAGACTTTCATCCGCCAATGGCTTCGGTAACTGGTCCCAGAGAGTCATCCGAACCCCTCCAAGGAGAGCCTCGGTGCACGGGTGTCTCTGGTCAACTCCATACGCTCCAGTGACCGCCCACTGGCAGCAGTGCCAGCACTCTCCGCACCTTGTTAAGGGTGGCCTGGTATTAGCACTTCAGCTTCGAACACCTGGGCGATGGACTCTCTCGATATCATCCATGACACTAGGACATCGCACAGTGCTTTCATCAACCGGCTGACTTCGGCAAAGGCTGGCATAATGCGGCAAAAGAATATGGAGCAACATTCGTCTTCTATTTGGCCAGAGTCCGCGCAGCTACTTCTCCGTCCCCGACCCGCTTGCTATTCAATCCGCACTTGCCGGGGCTATGTCACACCTGCAGCATCAGGCCTGGCAGCTGTGGCAGGCGCAAGCTCAGCAAAGCCACACTCGCGCAGCCTTTGCTGACGCTCACCGCACCGGGAAGCCGACACTCATGTCTCGAGTGTATGACGCGCTGGAGATGACGGCGTCGCAACTGAGAGTCGCGCCAGCACCCGCTCGAGTCGACTTCAATGTCTTCCGGAACCCCCTTGGGCCAGGTCAGCATTATGGGGCTTTCCAAGATGCGCCCCTGGAGGACTTACCTCGGGAAGAGGCCCTGTCACCAAAGGCCTTCGCAGAGCGGTGGCACTACACATGGGCTTCGCTTCCGGCCGAGCAGCGGAAGGGAGTGCGGGACGGAATTCACACGCTGGACGGATTAGGCGTGGTCTTACGGGCAGTTGAAACGCAACATCCATTCCTCCGCGTGCCAGCTCTCGGCTCTTCTAATGTGTGAGTCTCTGGGCACTGGGATCAGGTCAGGAATGCTGTATTGTGGAGTGTGTTTGTACTGTATTATACGATTTGAAAGTAGTCTTCACAGACGGCTAGGAGTCCTTTCAAGGCTAGTCTATCTAAACCTGTTTCTCTTCACCATCGTCACGAGCCCCTCAAGTTCGAGAGGATCGCGGATCAATGTCCAGGTAAGATTGGCGTATCTGAGCCAAGCCTTCATCGCCTGCGTCTAATGCTGAGCCGACACGCATACTGGATGCTGCCGGGATCCCGCGGACCTCGCAGCGGACTTGAAGCATCGCGCTTCAGCCCAAGGAACGAACAGTGGTCCGATAGCACTTTTGCATTGCAGCCTCAACCCACCTGCCAGAATCTGCTAGTATCTGCCACGCTACACCAGCGTTTTGAGGAACTCGTGCCTCAGTGGGAAACCGGTCTCAGGCTTTGCAGCAGCTACAACGAGCTCGGATTGTTGAAAAGATTAGAGTTTCCTCGGGAGAGGTAAGCGTTTACTAGACTGCACAGCCAGTTGAGGATGCAGACTGCTGCCGCATGTTCTACAGAGCTCCGAGTGGGACCCATGGCACAACCCGGTCCTAAGGGTTTCCACGATGACTCGTGTGTTGAAATTCAAGCTAGAGAGGTCTGTTGGACATGTCTTGGTAGATGTCTCAAAGATCATGAATGGGCTGGGCCTACTCGATCGGCATACCGACGCTGCTGCCGATGCACAACCTCATACGTCGCGAGCAAAGTAAACAAAAAGCCAAGGAACACAATACTACGGCACGGAGATTGCCAGGAAGACTACGGCATACGTTATCTAGTCCGGGTGTCAGATGGATCTGAGTGGCGAAAACCATGGAGAGGCAGCGCGAACAATCGTGGGACCCATTTCGCGATGGCGGCGAATTGTGGTTCAAGCTAGCCAGGGACACCTCGAAACCCGACTTGGATTGTCCGCACTGGACGCCATCTACTGGGTATTGTAGGCGCCGATCGCTTGACCGCTGCCGCTCACCAATTCCCACTGACCCTGGCTACAACGCGCGTATTGCTCGCCCCAGGTTGCCAGCCTTTGCTGCCGCTTGACCGTGGGGATACGGCCATACGGTGGGGGGATGCGGGCGAGAGTTGGCTCGGTAATTGGACAATGGGGATGAGAAGCTGGTGTCGGTATGCGGCTGTTGGAGGCGCGTGTCTGGGGCGGTGCGGTACCGAAGGATGTCAACGAGGCCGAGACCAATGGCGACTTGAGCAAGTCTAGATCATGTGCCGTCGCCGGTGTTATGAATCGGAAGCCGCTCGAAGAGGGATTCCACGTGGGATGTGGCGTGGCTCGAGTCGAATCGGACGACAGCCGGGCGATGTTGAAGGTGAATTGGGAGACGTCTCGACAGGCCGCAGCAACTCGGCGTCCGAATCAGAGGGCGGGATGGCGTCGGTCAGGCCTTGACGCCAGTGCAGAGATCCGGGCATGTAATGTAGACACGATTGAGCAACCAGGTGAAGGTAGCAGTCGTGTTGGTCGGGGGCAGCTGTCCCAGGAGAATGCGATAGGGTCTGTCGACGATGTCTCTGCACGGTGAGAATGACGGGAGCAAGGGCGGCTGGGTGGTGCCGAAGGAGGACGACCAGGTCGTCGAAGAGATCCAGTGGTGACTGAGAGATGCGCAGGGAAGAAGCCCGAGAGTCGAGTCGAGGTGGAATAAGGGGCGAGCCGTCGTCATAAGGAATCGAAGGTGCGACATAGTCACGAGCTGCAAGACTTGAGTTGAAAGTCAGGATGATGTAGACGAAGGGCCAAGTCAGAAGGGGTGTCGGGGCGGTTCGACTTGGCTGCAGACTCGAGGCCTAGGCCAATGTCGCAGCCACCAGCATCTCCAACGGGATCGTGTCTGCTCCGAAGTGCGACGCAGATGGTGGACCGAAGGGTAGAGCATTCGGGATGCGGTGTCGGCGTCGCTCTGGAGGGATCTGAGGAGGTCAACGGAGGCGTTCTCCAACGTCATCATGCTACCCAAACCTCTGCAGAGTGGATGCCAGTCGCGGAGACGCAGCGACAGTGGCAGCTGTCGCGAGCCGGATGGATGCTTCAGGTTTCCGAAAGCGATGATGCAGTGCATGGCTTCCAATGATGTATCGCCATGTCGCGGGCTCGGGGGGGGGGAGGTCATGTGTCGTCGGTGACGGCGGGTTGTACGGCGGTGATATCCTCGAGGAGGTCGGCGAGGGGAGTTGGGACCGTAGCTGGGTGGGTGGGCGTTGGCTCGGGCAACGTGCTGTCAGCCGCAGACAAGGGCGGTGGCAGTCGAGGGGGAGATTCAGGCCTCCCAAGAGTGGCGTACCCTGCTCATCTCTTGGCCAATCATCGGTGTAGGTCGAAAAATGGACCCACTATTTTTCGACCTGCAAGACCCAATGACTGGTTGGCCGGCCTCGCCCAGCACCTTGAAGCGGGAAGCCGGGGTCGCCAGTGAACATGCCGCGCAGGCTGTCGCGGACCACGGGGTCGTCGTCGACGATGACCAGGCCGATCATGTGGAAGGCCTGACGCTGCACGCGCCGCTCGTCTACGGTCAGGTGGGCAGGGTAAATGGCGTCGTAAAAAGCGTCGGCCTCCGCGACGCGCGCGGCAAACACCTCGTCGAAATCTGCGAAGGGATGCTCGAGCGCGTTTGTTCGTTTCGTTTTTGGTGAAAAGGCAAGGCGCGTCACCCTCTACGGCCCACCAGCGTTCACCCAAGTGCCGGTCTTTCGTGTAGACGCTCCCGCCGAGGAGCGCCTCGAGGCGGGGCCGCTCTCGCCCTTCCCACGACCAGGTGTTGCGGTACCAGAAGCGGCCTTGGCGTACTCGATCACGACGTCGAAGTAGCGGTTCGCCGCGAACGCATCGGGGCAGCGCGCCGTAAAGCTCGAACTCAGGAGCGTCCCGTCCGCGCCGCCGGTTCTCGCTGACGAGCTGCTTGTAAGGATAGGCGACCTGCGGGTACTTGTAGAGCAGCTTCGAGCTGTGCCCGCTCTAGCTCCGCCTTGAGTCCGGCGAGTCACTCAGCCTTCTCGGGCTCGTCGGCGAGGTTGTCGAGCTCGTAAGGGTCGTTATGCAGGTCGAAGAGTTCCCTCTCGCTCTCGGGGTCTTCAAGTTCGTCCAGTGTCCCTGGTTGCCCCAGAGCGTCGCCGTAGTAGTGGATGATCTTAAGGCGCTCCGTCCGCAGCCCGTACTGCGCGTAGACGTTCAGGCCAAGGTAGAAGCATTCCGTTCTTGGGGAAAATGCTGACGTAATACATGTCGAAGTATTTTACAGCCTGCACAGACCTCAGGACCCAATGATTGGTTGGATCTGTTACAGCGCATGTGTCCGGCAATGCACCCAGGCCACGAGGGTCGGCCCATGAAACCACCTGGCTCCAGCGCCATCACTTGGCGGACAGGTGCACAGGCCAGGTACTCTCATCAGGATGCACGCAAATAGGCAAGTATCCTCTAGCTATCAATCCAGCAACCTGTCAGAGCATCAGTTGGTAACCTGCTGCCATGTTAATTAGGTACCTTATTGTCGCATATCAATCCTCAAGTGCTCATCCCATCATCATCCAACATTTGTGCACCCAGCTCTTCCAGAATTGCATGGCATGATTCCTTAGTGGCAGGGGGAAGTGAGATTCAGTTGTCAGGTTTATGCGGAATTTTGCGTAATCTTACTCCTTGGTGTTCTTCGTAGGTGCTGAGTCCGACCATCTCTTTGTCATCCCGTCACGTGCCTCCCGCCACAGCTGTGCACAGGCCCGCTGTGGCGGTTCACCATGGCAACAAAGAGGCAAAGGCGTCAATAAAGACGCCTGAAAGATAGCGTGTATCCTTCCAGCAACAACCTCACCACCCAAGTTCATGCGCATACAGTTGCTCACCCATCGTCACAGTCGCCCACGATGCACAATTTCGAGCCGACTCTTGCCCGCGTGGGCATTTCAATTCGAGACTTGAAAGCAACGAGACCTACAGATACCCAAGCCTTCCTCGAGCGACATTCCATTCAGTATACAACCTCAAGCACCCCCGCCACAACTTCAGACGCTGCATCCCATCATCCCGCATGGGTCTCATCTCCGCTGAATATCGCGTATCTCGATACTGCAATCCAAAGGCTTGCACTGAAACCAAGCAATGGCGCTCCCAGCACCATCAACGACACCCTCAGGCCCCCAAACGATGTTCGGCCCTCGGAGGGTGCACCATCGTTCAGCGCGACAGAATGGGCAGAGGCTTTCCGGGACACCGTTAGATGTCTCTCGCGGGAGCTACCTCGCGGTCGTGAAGGTCCCGATGTGCTGCCGTCCCAAGCATTCGCCCGGCCCCGATTCCCAGATACAGACAGCCCATGGGAGAACTTTCTGGTCATCGGCGCCGACGAGTCGCCCGCGTGGGAGATGATAGCTGTTCTCGAGACTGACCATCATCACGTTGGCTGTCTTGTGGCCGACCAAACACCGCCAGATGAGCACTCACGAGACAAGGTCCTGCGCAGCGAGCTCTTCAGCATGCTTGTCCTCCTTCACTGGCGACTCAACCTGCTCAGGAAGCCTAACTGTGGCGGCCATGATCCCTCGGTACGTGATCTTCCTGCTGTCTGCTTTCATCAGCAACGAACTGTGGCTAACGCGACTCTGGTCCTAGGTTACGGTAACGACGTTTACGAGAGCCCGCGTTCGCATCAGTCAAGCCTACATCGACTGGTCCAATACTGACAAACCCATTCTTCGAGTCGTCAACCGCTTGGACAAGTCTCTCAGGGATTTGACTGGCGAAAGTGCCGCAGCCAGAACATGCTGGCTTGATGTCCTGTCATGGCTCTGCTTCACTCCGACCGAAAGCGACAACATACGGGTAGAAAAGCAACGGAAATCTGGTCACCGCTGGCAGCTCGAACAGCACGCGAAGGATCGGGTGGTCTCCAGGTCGAGCGATTCTTCTGGCACAAGCGACACGGGCAGCAGCGGTAGCAGCAAGCCCCAACATGACGAGGCCGCATCCCCAGCATCATCAGCCCCAGGCTCGCCTCGCCTTAACACGAAAGAAAATCAAGACTGAGAGCTTTCGGCAGTTTTGCATCAGGCTGGTGGTCTTGATAGGTGTACGTCATTTGCTGGGATTTTGAGACGCTGAGTTGCTTGGAATGAGCGAGTTATTACGCCTGCGACCACGAAGCGACTTGGGGTATGAAGCGGCGGGTGGGTCGGAGTTATGGCTTTGTGATTCTCGTTTTGGAAGCACATTATGATACCCGGTTTTGAAGGATTACCTTTGGAGGTTTAGAAATGTTCGTTCACGCCTTTGTACTTTGGTCAGTTAATTGCAGGCAAGGCGACCGACGCTTGCTCTGAGACATGCACCATGCTCAGCTCTTTCGGTGTTGGCATTGTTGCGTCTGCCACAGACTGAGATTACGTAATACGATGCAGGGTTCCGCGCTGGCGATCCAATGTCTGAACAATTTGTTGCTGGCTTGATATGTACGGATAATTACATTAACCCCTCAGTCCCCACGCAACCCTTACGATCAAGATCGCGCCAGCAACACACAGGAAGAACGAACGCCGGCTACCTATCTCGAGCCTCTTATCTCGGCCACATTCACGGCGACAACACCACGTATGCCACAACAAGCCCAGGATGCTACTCCCGGAAACCGTTTACGCCTGGCAGAGCCAGGTCCGGGCAGTGGGCATCGCAAACGCGAAGCTGGGCGATATCAAAGCTGATGGGCATTTCTCTGGTTCCACGATTCCCTACAAAGCCTTTCTCCAACTCCGCGCTGTCTGGCTTCCGCTGAAGGAGGGCGCAGCTGCTCCAGCCGACCTCGAGACCGCCGGCTTCTTCAACCGCACTGACAGAGATCTGGCCACATCCTGTCTCGACGCGAACCATTCGCGGCTTGAGAACTTCTTCGCCACAGTGGAAGCATCTAACCATGACCGACGTCCCCAAGACCCGTTTCCGGTGACTCCATCGCTGGGCAAGGCCAGGCTGGGTCCTCTCTCCCAGGCGGACGACCTGGGCATGTTCGTGCCTGCCTTTACGTCGTGGCAGCGGTTGAAGCCCATCGGCAAGACTCAAGGTCCGCCTGAGGGGATGCCGAACTTCACACCGAAAGTAACAATAAGATCTAATTCCACGCTTCAAGAAAACCTCTTGCTGCAGCCGGTATCCCGTTTGGACTTGACCGGAGCCAAGTCGCAGCTGCCACCGCGGAGTGCAGACGAACTCATCGCAGACATGTGTGCAAACATTTCTTTGAGCGATACTAGTGTCGATATTGACACTCCGTCCAAGCCCGCACGAGGGGGCAGGCCAGGCGCAACAGGTCAACGAGAGCAGCCGGTTCCAGCGCCGCCAGCGATGGAGGGCGGAGACCCAGCAGAGCCCCTGAGCGAGAGGGTGGACGCTGTTCCAGCGCCTGAGCACGCAGACTCGGACGCGCCTGCGCCCCTCGTTCGCCCCGGCAGGACAGAGTATGAAGTGCAGACGTCCCATTTCTTTGTCACGTATGCCGACACGCTTCTCGCCCACGCCCTCTCCGTATCGATTTCAAACCACCTGTCCATCGTGCCGGAAGAGCGACCGTATGGATTCGGCAAGGCCGCAATCCCGCCCGTCCCAGAAGGGGAAGCAGCCGCGCCGTCATCTTCCGGGGCTTCGAGAAGCAGACGGCAACGGCCGCATCTGTTCGTGGCCTGCCCCGATGGTGCTGCCTACGTCAACCTAGGCGACAGGCTCCGAAAGGCATTTTTGCACTTTGAGCTGAAACCGTTCCGCAGAGATGGGTCAGCGAAAGCATTGGATATTTGCCGTGAGGAGACGGCCGAGATAGCAGCTATTCTTTACCAGGAATACTGTAGCGACGGCAAGGCCGACAAACCGTAAGTCCACATGTCTTGATCTACTTCCTCTCCTGATCCCTCCTTGTCCATGTCAACAAAGAGGCCTCCTCAGCCTTGACAAACACGCGGCGAAGATGATGTGGCTCTGCCCACATCTGTGCATGCATCAGTTCCCCACGCGTGTGTCGATCTCATGTAGATGGTGATGACTGATGTTTCGTCGCCGCCGGCTGGATGTAGACCTGAAGAGAAGCCAGTGCGTCGGATGATGTTGTCTCTGGACCAGGATGAGTATTGGCTAATTGTAGCAACCGTCGGGGCGAGGTACCTCGACTACATAAAGGACATGGAAGCGACCGCCGTGACGCCTGGCGATGTAGACATGGATCTAGACGACTTCGTTCAGTTCCAGCCATACGGTCCATTTCGCATGGGACGCTCTCAAGCCATGGGATACGTGAATCTTGTCGTCACGGCCAGTGCATTGTCCCAGTTGGGGAACACTGAAACGGGACGGAGTTTGCGGAGTCGCCTAAATGTAGATACCGCAGGCGTGTGCTGATGATGCAGACAGTCAAGGGCCGCCGTTGCGCAAATAGGGCCGAAGGAATGTATCGCGGGTTCCGGGCAAAACGATCAACAGGAGCCGAGAATGGTGGTTGAGTGGTTGGGTGGTTGGGTGGTTGGAGGATGAGTTGGCCCATGCTTATGGTGCTTATGTAACGGCCTGAGGTCGGGTGGTCGGAACACAATGCGACATGCACGGACCATATATCCGTGCACTCGGCCGAATCTGTCAAGTCCCGGTTAGGTCACAGGTGACGTGGGGGCGGCGCTCCACGCCAACTTCCAATTAAACGACTCCGGTGACATTCAGCAGTCAGCCATCACTGGCTGGCATACCTGGACCTTCCATTACCTTAGACAAGCCCGGGCAGTTGCTCCTGCCGCCGCTGCCGTACAAGCATGAGGTGGAAGCCGCATTGGATCCTTCCTTTTCTTACCTAGTGAGGTACCTAAGGTAGGTACGGCACCTACGGCACCTACCTTACCTACCTTATGGTCCCTTGGTCTACGCTTCCGCGACCCCACGCGCCAACTTGAACAACGCCCAACACGCCGTCAGCATCGACACCAATGGACATTGACAAAGCCCTCGTAGACGACATCATTTCTTGTTGTTTAGCCTTGGCTCATGATACCGAGAAGGCCAACGACCTATATGATCGTTTGCGCCGTTACGAGACGCATGTCGCCGAAGAGCATCGACTTGACCCCATCCACATTCGCGCATACCTTCCCCCTCCAGTCATCGATACGCTGACCAGGCTGATCCCGGACAAACATTTCGTCGTCAACACGCGCTCTGCCAAGCTCCCAAAGGCCGCTCGCATCTGGACAGTGCCTGCCCGACAACTACTCTTCCAGATCGGCTTCGACTACGCTCGCCAGGGTGACAAGTTCTTTTTCGCCTTGTTCCAGCTCGCTGAAGGCTGCAGGCATTGGCCAAGTTGCCTTCTCCGTCTTCGTCAAGCTGCGTGGACCCGCCGCAGCCAGCCGGGGACCCTGACCCGTTCGCAGGCCGCTATCCGTTTTCGCCTGGGTCTCAGCCTCCATAATATCGAGGTCGTCCTTCAATCACTTCCCCGTCCTCCTCCAAAGGCAAACACAGCAGTTGTTGATCAGTCACCTACCAACGAAAAGTCGTCCAGGAAGGGGGCCGTCGTACCAGAACAAACCACAAGTCGCTCTTCCGCCCACAGCAGTTCTTCCGCCCACAGCACTTCTTCCGACCACGACAGCTCTTCCACCCACAGTAGCTCTTCAGCCCACGGCAGCTCTTCCGCCCACAGCAGCTCTTCAGCCCACGGCAGCTCTTCGGTCCAGGACAGCTCTTCGGTCCAGGACAGCTCTTCGGTCCAGGACAGCTCTTCTTCCAACGACGCTTCTACGCCAGGACGTCCGGCTGCAGACACAACTTCCCTTTCGGAAGGAAGTACGCCTGAGGTTGGCCGTACGAGTTTGTCGGAACAAGAACCTCCCAGGACCCCCACTCGGGAGCTGACCCAAAGCGGCGCAGCCCATGACCCTTCTGACATCTTCGACACCCCGCGTTCTTCACCGAACCAACACCGTTCTTTGTTCGAGAAGAGAGACGCGTCCGTTGGCCATCTTAGCAGAGATCACGAGCCCGAGGACATTGAGTTCGAAGACGACCAACCTATCTTTAGTCCCACCGACTTCGACGACGCTTGCGACAGCGAAGAGCACGAAATTGCCTCCCAACAACAAGCTTCTGGTGACTCTGCCCCAGTCGACACGCACAAAGACAACACAGAAGACATTGCGCACGACGAAACGCATCTAATTCCAGCACAAGAACATTCTGTCAAGAACCAAGTGTGCAGAACCCTTTGCAGCACATACTTGTCGCCTCAGACGCAAACGCTTAGTACAGATACCATTTCCAGAATGACACAACCACCCGCGAAAAGAGCATGTAGGGGCGAGATGTGGCCACTGCTCACAGCTGATGAGACGAGGGATTTCATGCAGGGAGATCAGCCCCCGTCACTCGACGTGTTCAACGTCATTTTAGTTGCCCTGTGCGAGCAATGGAAGGACGTCGTCGTCGTCCCCACGGCTGAGCTTACCAAGCTTCACCAAGACGACTATCTACCGGACGCTGATCTGCTCGACACCGTCTTTCAACGTGAGACTATCCTTTTACCGTATCTAGCAGACGAAGGCACTGTTCTCATGGGGAAGATCGAGCACAGGCAACGCATCGTCGTCAGCGCGCAGCTATTTGGCCCATTCCCATCCGACGCCAGCTTGGAAAATTCTCGCAAGCTAACTGGCCTTTTCATCAGCCATTACCTGCCCAAAACCCCCCATCTACTGAGAATGCCTGTTCTGTACCCAGGGGTTTCTCCACCAGGGCCTACGAGCCAGTCAAACAGCGCCATCCACTTGATCGCCGCAGCTATTTACAAGGCCGCAAGAATCGACACGCCCAGTACCATACACGCAGAACTGTGGCGCAGAATACTCCTCGGGTGCATCGGTGGCAGGATTACGGACTGGGAACTGGTTTTTCCGCCGATGCCAATCAACAGAATGGACGAGCCCCCACAACAGCTGCAGCAACCCAGGGCAGCCGAAGGCAACAATAATTTCGCCCGGTTTGAAGCACTTCAGGCGACCTATCTGCAACAACAACGGGAATTACTGCAAAGCTTGAGTACAGATATGGTTCATCTCGAGGCCTACCACCAAAGTTTGACACCAACACTTCGCGTTGTTAAATCTTTGCACGAGACATGCCGCGGCCATCAAGCCCAACTCCGAGCCAAACTTAATGAAGCGACGGAAAGGCAATCATGCAAAAGTGGTCCTGGTGGGAAGGCAACGGCAACGTGTGTTGTCCAGATCTCCCAGGAGCTCGAGGCGACGGAGAGACGCGCCACTGCTGCAGGCAACGTGTGTGAGAGTCTCCAGGGTCTTGACCAACGCCTGACTGAGATGCACCGCGAGTACATAAAGAAGCGGGAAGTGGTAGTGAGGAGGCAGTAGAGGACAGCATTCGGGGTTTTGGTATGGGTTTATATGTATTGATGGCGCAAAAGAGCATTATCATTGAGGACGACTATTAGGGAATGGGTCGATATAGATAAATTAGGTGTTAAATGCAGAGATGCCATGTTGTTTTCCCGCGCACGATGCAATTTGTTTCTCTCAGTCTTGTGGCTTTCGCTCGGCGCCGTGACCGCTGGCCGGGTTGTGTGATGCTATTATAACCTACTGCCAACGCCGTATGCTGGCCACATCACAGTTCCAATACAGGGAACCTGTCAGAGCACACGCTGCGGACCTACGTACCCAAGAAACGCCCGTTGAAACGCCGAAGACTGCGCTGCACTGCGAGATGTTGATCACTGCACCCCGCCTAAGACCTTACTGGCATGACCGAGTCTAGAATGTCGGGAACGGTAGACGAGAAAAAGAATGAATGGTTTTCTGGAAATAAAGACAAAGATGTGTGAGTGAAGGATTGGCAATGAGAGAGAAGCATGGGAGGCTGCCGTGGGCGCTGAGCTGAAATTGGCCAGTTTAATTGGCGGGGAGGCAGCCTTCAATTGCATCTCGGTCAATTGCCTCCGTAAATAATTGCAATGGTGCAAGCGCACTTATCATTGCCTCTCTCCGACCTTATTGTTCCCGGCCTTGGAGCCGTCGCCCTCGGCCTCGTCTTCTACCACGGGAGGCCCGAAGCCGGAAGCCGGGAACAAAGCTCATGTGATCATATAGAAATCCCCTGTCCCTTTTGACAGTCGCTCGCCCGAGATAATCCCGCCTCTCGATTGTTAGTGTGGATAGACAAGGAATCGAAGTACATCGCTGGGTGAACTTGGGTCGTTTTCCCTTCTGAGCAATCGTTGTGTTCCTGGTTATCTAGTGAAAGCTTCAGAATCATGCCCTAAGTATGATGCCTCTTGATTAGGTCTTGAGTAGGAGCACGAACCAGGTCTCTGTGCATTACTTAGGGCTTTTACTTGCTGTCCAAGTATTGTTACTTGTCGACAAGCATAGCTCTAGTCAAGATGCAGACCTATTCTTACGCATGGCTTGCTTTCATGCCGTGTCTGCTCGTGTAATCTCGTCTGCGCACTGAACGTAGCCGTTGAATTGCTATCGTCAGAAGTCCGGGAAGTGAGCTCTCCGCCCTGTGTTCAATGATACTCCCCTCCAACTACACCCATAAGTACTCTTCAGCATTGACTATATTACGCTAGAGAGTTGACGCCAGCTCTGTTATATTAGTTGATGCGAATGTCATCAAAAGTGAGAGATGTCCTTGCTCACCCGCCCGCGGAGCCATCTGGACTCTCTAACCCTACTTATCAAACATTGAAAATCCCTTCATAAAAACGGACACTATAGAAATAGGTCTGCATGGAAGAGTTTGCAGACGTTCTAATTCCCGACTTCAACAATCCTCAGCAGCCCCGCATGCGGGAACACCTCTCGAGGAGCGACCATACTCGTCCAGTGGATGAGCTGACCCAACGCATTATTCGACAAGCGCATCAGTGGTGGGGACACCAGAGAATGAAGCCAGGGTAGACTGGAACTTGGAGAGAAAAAGCGAGCTCATAGCGGGATTGAAGTTGTTCCGTGGCACTCTGCGAGCCAGGAGCTGTCTTTGAGGACGGTCAGCGTAGCGTTTTCGAAGCAAAGACAAACCCTAGAGCTACGCTTCCCCCCCCCCCCCCCCCCCCCCCCCCCCTNGGCCCCCCCCCCCCCCCCCCCCCCCCCCTTTCAGGCTGGTATCCCAGCAATGAGCAACTCAGGAAATGTTGGAGGCAGCTTGGGCCGGCTGCTGAACATACTGCAGATTGAACCCCCGCTGTCGCTGTCCCTGCGCAAATGTTCACGTCATCGAAGCTATCCTTGCCGCTCTCATGACAGTGCTGATATGATGACGTGAAAAGCTCCAGTGCTGCTGTATTCAACTCTCGCCATTGATGTGTGGACAAGTAAGTGAGGAGAATAGCTTAAACCTCCAAGAAGCTGCCGGCTCAGTTGTGTAGCTAGAGACGTTTCTGTGGCAAGCTCAACGCATCTCAATATGTTGACGGGCCCTGCCACTCGGCTGCCACTGCTGTGGACTGCCAGCGAGTGCCAGAGGCTGCCATACAGCCCTCTCCAGCGCCCTAGCGCCAGTAGTTAGTTCTCTCCATCACACATCACAGTTATCACTACGTTCTCACAATAAATATGACTAGTCTTGAGTATCTGCCTAGGTAATAGATTCAATCGTTAGGTAGAGTCCTTCCCAATCAAATACCACATCCACAAGCCAACCATAACGGTCACTAGTCCGAGTTGAATTTCAACTGACAGCGTAAGGGGTGTGGTTTCCTCGAGAAACCTGCCTATATAGGCGTCTGGCGCATGTAGCTGCGTGTCATGTTGGCAAAACGGCCGCAGGCTTGCAAGCTCGACCGGATGTCCGACTCTCCGAGTGACCGAAAGCCCCACATTATTATCGCCCTACTCGTCCTAAAATAAGATATGGCTCTGCTTCCCAAAGCGTTCCAGACGATCCCTCTCCAGTGAATCAAAGGCTCCCGCTTCCATTAAGCCTGCGAACTTACTCATGGGCCCTAAATTATTTCTTCGAGCACAGCCCTCATCTCATGTGAAGCTTGCTTGTCGCCTATCAACTGGCCTGTTGTTGCAAAATCCTTCGCGACTCCAGCTGCAATTGAGGCAACTGCATATAACGTGGCCCTAGCGTGTTTTGAGCGGCCCTGATCACCAGCCCGACCCCAGAGATTGGTTGTATGGGCACTCTCCCCGTCTTACAGGTCGGATGTTCTGGGATATGCGGACGAACCGAGCACCAGGCCTCGATTGTGGCTTTGATGCAAGACTCTACTGGAACCTTGAATAGACCAACCCGAGATATTCCAGGCTACTGAGGTGAGCATACATGGGGACACCTGGAGAGCCCAATCTTTCAAAACGAAAACCAATCATCATATGGCACCCGCTGCTTGTCTTCTGTGGCCCTGGAGCCGAAAGAGACTTCAATGTGATCCGCAAATCCTTTTCTACCTTGATTCATCTAGCCCTAGGATCTCTCTTGAGGATTACGGCAGACATAAACACAGCTTAGAGGCATACAAATAGACATCAATCGCAGAATGCCTATAAAACCAGGGCTCCAACTTGTATCGTAGGCATCTTTATGGGAATCGAAACCACGGTCCTTATGCCATGCAAGTCAATGATAATCCCCATGTTCTCTTCATTCTTTCAGCAGGTGTCATTTCCCTCATCCAGAAGCACTTATTATGGTCGATAATGATTGATTACTGCGAGAAATTCTGAAACTGTACCAATAGAACGTTCATGAACTGTTCATCCATCCTGTCACCGCTGGTCTACCTGCTTCAAGATATCAATCACGTGTAGACCGAGATGTCTGTGGATCTTTCAGACTGTGGAGAATGCCACGAAGGTTCCAGGAAGGTTGGGCCTGAGATGACCCGAATATTAGCATATTACCTTCGTGACCTTCGCGCCCGCTGGGAATCCTTACCTGGTCGAATGTCTCATCGAGCGTTTTGCGATTCTGGTCAAATGGATCACTTGAAAGTCCACCTGAATGGTTATTGCTCGACGTTCCCTGAGTAGCCGACTCCGCAGACGAGGGTTTGTTGGTGAAGTTTGTTGTCGTGCGCACGACAGCCAGTATGCGAAGACGGTAGGGGTGGTAGTACGTTATCATCGTCGTCACTACTCCAGTGAGTTCTGTGCGTCGCTACTTGCGTTCAGCCCCGGCTAGATAATGGATGTCTGCTGATTGTGTATAGGGCCCCCAGCGGCAGTTCGCATGTTCGGTAGGGCCAGAAAGGAGGCTGGCAAAACTGACTGGTACTGCTCTCGGGCATTTGCAGCTATCTTCCTAGCATGGCGACGTTTCTTGGATTTGCCCATCAGGATGGACGGCGGAAGAAATTTTGGACGTATGAATTGGGAGCCGCACCGGTACACCTCGAGTGCTTTCAGGACGTCGCTATAAGGAGGCGAGTGATGGTTTTGAAAGAAAAGCGGCCACCGAAACTACCAGTTGTAGTGGAATGGCTTCGGAAATGATACGATCGTGTGGCCTCAGCAAAGGCGGCAAATGCTGCCTGTATTGATTGCATGGAATGCTTGGATGGATATGTGTCGTCGACTGAACTGGAGGTGGGGGTGGGAGTTGGCTGGAAGCCGTGTATTCCTGCCGAGAAACACTTCAGAAGGTGTTCATGGCTGGGCTGATTACTTTGACAACAGGCATGTGGATGCTGCTTTCCTAAGTTACTCGCTGACAGCGCATCTGTGCAGGTGCTGTTTGGACGCGTCATGATTGCCCGGGAAAAGTGTAACGACAAAGGCTCTCAGAATGTACGATAAACTTGTAGTCATGTGTGCCAGCCAGTGCCAAATTCCAAGCTGGTCAGTCAACGGGCTCTCCGTGGGACTGGCAGAGTCATCCGGGGGATGGAAAGAACCAGAATCCTGAGGGAAACAAAGACAACAACCATTACAGCGGCGTTCTCGATAGAAATATCATGTTAATCTCGCGTGGATCACCTCTGAGGATGGGATCGCAAGAGTAACACCAACGCATCCCAACACCAACTTACAACGAGGGCCAGAAAAAGCTCTGGTATCTACGACATGGCGAGAATAATTGTCGATGGTCGACTCTGATAATGTCTCTATCCTTTGCAGCTGTATCACAGATTCATCTGTGCAGACCTAGCGCCTTACTCACTTCTCCAAGATCGAGACCGCAGAGTGCTAAGAGTCGATGACTCATGTCCCTCACGTCAGTATTCGTACCAACGCTGCGTCTACGTCGCCCCGTGCTGTCAGTCTTGAACCTTCGTTCACTACCAGTTCTAATATCAGCGGTCGACCAGAAGCAGATGACGACGGCATCAAAAAGAAGTCTTGTTAGCCTCCTGTTGACCAAGCAACCCCGAATCAGTTCGAAATACTCATCGAAATGACTT